AAGTATAGCAGGGATTGTGGGGCTGGTGCGGGATCGGGCAGTGTTTCGTTCTGCTGTGCATGGGGTCGCTATGGGTCGGAAACGACTCGACGGCACTTAACAACAATAGAACCACTCCCGGTACCAAATGTGTTAGACTGGGTTCTTTAGAGAAGCAAAACCAGTAAAGCTTACGTGTATATAGAGAGAGAGAGAAAGAGAAATTTATCTTAGGAAAATGCCTCACACACTCATAGAAGCTGGCAAGTCCCAAGTTCTTGGATTAAGTGTGAAGCTGAAGGCTTTTCCCGACTCTTGCAGCTGCAGGGGCTGAGGAGCTCAAGGTTGGCAGGCAGTATACTGGCTGTTGATGCCAACAAATGATGAATCCAAGATCTCCAGGCTGAATGGTGGATTGTTCGCTCACGAATGGTTGTAGGCACCACAATAGAATCCCGATCCACAGAAGAGTGTCTCTTTTCCCTGGAAGCAGACCACACCCCTAGGCAAACTCCCTTTCAATGGATTGGCTGCTCAAAACATACAAATCTGATCCCATCATGGGAACAACCCACATCACAGTTGCTTAAACCACACAGAATTGTGGTCCAGCGAAGTTGACACACAGCTCCAACTCTCACAGCTATCCTAGTGGGAGTGAAATGGTATCTCATTTTGGGTTTGATTTGCATCTCTCTGATGGCTAATGACTCTGAGCATCATTTCATGTGTTTGGCAGCAATTTGAATGCCCACTCTGGTGAAATGTCTATTCAAGTCCTTTGTCCTTTTTATGATTAGGTCATTTGTCTTTTTATTGTTAAGTTGTCGAAATTTTATACATATTTTGATTATTAGATTTTTTTGGAATACAAGGTTTTGAAAGATATTCTTCCTGTCAGTAGCTAGTCTTTTCACTTTTTTGGTAAGTCTTTTGATGAAAATGTTAAAGTGGTAAAAGCTTTAAATATTTATTAAAAATAAATATAATGTAGAGCTATAAATATATAATAGAAATTTAATAAAATAAAATCTAGAAATAAAATATAATAAATAAATAAAAAATATTAACATTTTTAATATTTATGAGCTTCCATTTTTT